CAACTTCAATGAAGTGATGTGTTCTTAGGTTACCCCTTCAGCACAACGAAAGTCGAATAATTGATTGAACTTCATCGCGAGATTAGCAACCTTGTCAAAACCCTAGGTCTAGAAGCCAGCAGCATATCGACACCACCACCACACTCATTTCACTCACCTGATTCACCTCAGCGCAAGGTTCTAAAAGACACTAGGCGCTAGTCGGGTGGTGGGCTGGAGCCTAGTGCCAAGGTGGACTAGGCTAATTTAAGTAAATCTATTATATTTCGTGTAAATAAGTGTATGTTTATACTTAAAATATATGTAATTCCATCATAAACTACAAAATAGAATAACATATATATTATGAAGTATTGGAACATAAGGAAAACATGGGGAACAAGCACATAGTGTGTATTTATTTAAGTATTCAACAAGTCTGTTACAATTTATTAAAAAAATAAAATACAAAATGAAAGTCATCTATTTTCTGTCTAAGTGAATCACAACCTAGGCAGGTGCCTAGACGGTCTAGGTGGAGACCTCAGCAGGTCTAGGCGCCCTTTCTTAATTTTCAAATGCCTAAGCATTAATTAGGATGTTGACTAGCCGCTTAGCACCTAAGTGGGGCCTAGGCAACGTTAGGCGGAGATTTTTAGAACAGTGCCTAGACGGTGAGGTGGCATACCTGCATGAACCACAAGAAGGATGTAGTTAATTCTTAGTTACTTGGCATGTGCGTCATGTAAGTTTGATAGTTTTTATGATCAACAGAGCAAGCGTGTTGTTACTAGAGTAGCTATTACTAAAAGCGTGACAATGGTCATGCCACACTTTTTGTACTTAATGGCATGCTCACCTCTCCTATAAAATACGTCATCAATCGTTGTTGTCAAACGAAAGTTAGTGTGATACAGCTAGACCAATCAATTTTAGTGTGATGCAGCTAGACTAATCAAATTCGGCATATGATAAACGGGGCCCTAGGCCCTTAACTAGAGAAGTCCAAAATTTGTATGTGTATTAATCAGTTTGTGGTCACTAAATTCGCTTGTCTCTCTGACCACGTCAAACCTACTAGTCCATGTTATGTACTATGAACTTAATGAGAAATAGAAAGCGAATTCATGCACTCATCATGCATGCTTGATTGTAGACAATACTACAACCATCTAGCTTAATTAGGGAAGTTAGTCTGACTAGGAATCTTTGCAGGATTAGGAATTTAGGATAATGTACTTATAAAATGAAAGATATCTAAAGCAATAGATTATATAAAATAGAGTAGTCCCACGGTTGAGGAATTTCATATTCCATTTCTCCAAAACTATTTGGTTGCTTATTATTTTACGCTTCATATCGTACTAAATTACGACATATGGGGGCGTATGTGTGTTCACCTTGTCAAATTATCAGAATAACAGGATAAAGATCTACTTCTAACAATATCGATATTGTCCCAAACTTGTTAATTAGCACTTGTACAGTTTAATAGGTGTGAGGTTTTTATCACAAAAAACCTCAATATTAGTTAGAGTAAAATTATGATATTTAAACTGTTATTTTCTCTTTCATTGTGTCGATGTGAGATTTTTCAACACGCCTCCTTTTGACTTAGAATCACAAAAAACAAATTTGGTCCCTTTAGTTTTAGGACTTTAGTTTTAAGGTGCGGAGCGTGCCACCATCAGATCGTGTCTTGGTCCTAGAGTTTTTTTGTAGTATTGAGGACAAGACCTCAAGGTCAAGTTGCTCACATCTATGATGAACCGTATAGGCTCTTTAGTATGAACCCAATTATTCATGGCCTTACTTACGATTACGAAGCCTAACTTAACGAGGCCTAATATATTATTCGGCCAACCAAATCAGATCGAAATAATAATTAGTTAAACTAACAAATCAAACACTCGCATGTGTATTTATCAGTTTTTCGGTGATGGATTAATTTGTCTATTGTACCACATTAGATTGGATTTAGTCCATGTGATGTGCTTCGAAGTTTAATGAAAACAATTTAAAAGAGTAATGTTAGGTAGACTAATTTTTTAAATTAAATTTGTATGTTATGTGAGGTGTTATTAATAAAAAATAATCACTGTTAATCAACGCTTAAGTAATAATCAAGTCATCAACAATTATTTCATATAATTTACAAAATATGATATAAATAGGAATAATGCTACACTTACCACATTTTGTACAATCTTCCAAAGGTAAGGCTCACCAAAACATGTGGATTTCATCATTATTATAAAGATGATACAAATGATGATATAAATATGTAATGAGGATGTCTTTACCCATAATATTATATGCATGGATCGAGAAGACCACAAATCACAAGTGTCCTTCTCATCTTTGCTTTGCCTCCAGCGCCTTCAATTCGTCACCACAAACGTCACAATTCTGCCCCAAAACCCCTATTTAAGCCGTGCCATTCTCTCACCGCATTCCCCACCTTGAATACGTACTCCCACAAGAATTTCAACTTCACTAAGCTAATAAGCCCACAGCACCAAATTTTCCACCAGTCAACTACGTACCTACTTTTTCTACTTCCAACAACTCCACGCTCCACCGCGCACCTCCGCAATCGCATACGCTGCCATGGTGCAACACCGCTTTCTACTTGTCACATATCCGGCTCAAGGCCACATCAACCCTTCCCTCCAATTCGCCAAGCGTCTTATCAACACTACAGGTGCGCATGTCACCTTCATTACCAGTCTCTCAGCCCATCATCGCATAGGCAATGGCTCAATTCCAGATGGATTGACTTATGCGCCCTTCTCTGATGGGTACGACGACGGGTTTAAGCCCGGCGACAACATAGACCACTACTTGTCGGAGTTGCGGCGCCGCGGAGCACAAGCCATCACCGACCTTGTAGTCTCAAGTGCAAACGAGGGTCACCCTTACACTTGCCTAGTCTACACAATACTTCTCCCTTGGGCCGCGGACGTGGCGCATGAACTTCACCTCCCAAATGTGCTGCTTTGGATTCAACCAGCCACGGTTTTCGACATCTACTATTATTACTTTAACGGGTACAAAGATATCATCCGGGATAATACTAGTTCAGGTACGAACGATGCCCTTCCATATTCAATAGAGTTACCAGGTTTGCCACTATCTCTTACAAGCCGAGACCTTCCCTCCTTCATGGTGGATACAAATCCGTACAATTTCGCCCTCCCGTTGCTTCAAGAACATATGGATCTGCCGGAGAGAGAAACCCACCCTATCATTCTAGTGAACACGTTCGATGCACTAGAACCGGAAGCCTTAAAAGCAATTGAAACGTACAATTTGATTGGAGTCGGGCCATTGATTCCGACCACTTTCTTGGACGGCAAGGATCCATCGGACAAGTCATTTGGAGGCGATATTCTCCAAAAATCCAAGGACTCTCCGTACCTGGAGTGGCTAAACTTGAAGCCGGAAGGGTCGGTGATTTATGTGTCCTTTGGAAGCATTTGTGTGTTGGAAAAGGCCCAAATGGAGGAAATCGCCAAAGGGTTGTTGGATTGCGGCCGTCCGTTCTTGTGGGTTATTAGAGATAAAGTCAATAAGAAGGGAGAAGATAATGAGGCGAAGGAAGAAGAAGAGATGTTGAGTTGCAGAGAGGAATTGGAAGAGCTAGGTAGGATAGTGCCGTGGTGTAGTCAAGTGGAGGTTCTGTCAAGTCCTTCGTTGGGTTGCTTTGTGACACATTGTGGGTGGAATTCAAGCTTGGAAAGCTTGGCTTCGGGGGTGCCAGTTGTGGCGTTTCCTCAGTGGACGGACCAAGGAACGAATGCCAAGTTGATAGAGGACGCTTGGAAGACAGGAGTGAGGGTGACACCAAATGAGAAGGGGATTGTTACGGGTGAGGAGCTCAAAAGGTGTTTGGAGTTGGTCATGGAAAGTGGGGAGATTGGTGAAGAGATGAGAAGGAATGCTAAGAAATGGAAAGATTTGGCAAGAGAGGCTGTGAGTGAAGGTGGGTCTTCGGATAAGAATCTCAAGGCTTTCTTGGATCAGATGGATTGATGTTATCTTAACAAGTGGCTGTCCTTTTTTCTGTTTCTTGGTTTGGTAGTAGCTTACATATATGTAGAATTTTAGACGGCTACGTAAACACAACTGGTCGACTTTTTGGAATTGTAATACTTTGCTATTCAAAGATGAGTAGGAATTTCTAATTCAAAATTGTTCGTTGTCAATTTATAGAACTTCATGTTTATAATTAGAACCATTCATATTATAAATACCATATAAAGATCGTCTCTACAAAAATTCAATTAAAACTAAGGTCGTTTAGTCATTAAACTATTTAAAAACAAATGAATGGTATTGGTAAAAGCATTATAAACAGTCTATATATTTGCTAGAATAGATTGACTAAACGACTTTAGTTTTAATTTATTTTTTTGCAGAGATGATCTTTACGATATGATTCATAGTATTAACGATTCTAATCATAAGCACAAAGCTTCCTGATTAAAACACTAAGAATTTTGAGTTGGAGTTCATACTCATCTTTGAATACCTAAGTATTGCTCGTCATATATATTGCATGCACATGTACTTTTTTATTTTACTTTTAAAATGAGCAGTTGTCTCCTTTGTTATTGCAAATAAGAATATTAGTTAGAATAATGTGCACTCCCTTCTACACTCAAGTTCAAATTTTTATTAAAATATATATATATATATATATATATATATATATATATGGTGTAACTTTGTTTTAATGTAACTTGCAACAAAATGCTAGGAATGACTTGAAAACCACATTTATATAAGAGAAATTTCTTTATGAAAATCCAGTTGTGGAGAAATTTTAAAGTGTGCAGAAAATACGACCTAATATATCAAAAAAATTAGCAAAGCCTTTAAATTGAATTAGGAAACAGACACTTCAATGCAGTGTCTGACCCCAAAGGCAAAAACAAAAGCACAAAACGGAAACTTCAACACAGTGTCTGAATCCAAAGGCAAAAACAGAAGTACAAAACGGAAACTGCATTACAGTGTTTGAATCCAAAGGTGAAACCAGAAGTAAGATATGAAAACTGCATTCTAGTATCTCCATTCAAATGGTAAAAACTGAACTAGGAAACAGACACTGAAGCGAAGTGTCTGAATCCAAAGACAAAAGTAGAAGCAAAAACTGCACACTACATTTTATTGTTAAAATTCAAATGATAAAAACTGAACCAGGAAACAAGTATCTCAATGTATATAAACTGAAAATTCAAATTCAATTAATAACTGCCATGCATGTCTTCTTATTGTGCCCTTAATTTCACCAAACCACATCGACTGCACTTCAAGGCTCTCTTCGTATCACAAAAAATTTTGATCCTCTTTGTTACAGGTCTTTCGGGAGGCCGCTTAGTAATTAGAGGAGCACAACTTGATCTTGATCAACTAAACCATCAATGTCCAATCCTTTCCCAATTGTTGGTACAGGAAATATCGGGATATTCATATGTCTTTCGATAGAAATCTGGCTTGAAATAATCTTCAATATAATCATAAACACATGCTCGTATTGATACCATGGCTATCAACGCATGTTCACACGGAAACCCATCAATCTGCCGAAGACGACAAGAACAAGTCTTTGACTCTAGATCAACCATCACAGACCAATCCTCAATCACTTCTAAAATTGTCGCATTTAAACGGTGAATAGACCAACACCTACCAACCTCTATTGCACCATTCAAAGTCTTCTCCATCTCCGGACAAAGAATTTCAGTCCACTTCTCAGCTTCCAATCTACGATGAGCATTCAACACCATCAATTTCTTTTGAATGCCTGCCAACAAGGCAACACAGGCAATTCTAAAACTCTAGAATCCAATTGTTGAATGACTCTGCTAAACTATTAGCCCTCTCACCATAGCGCATCCCTTGAAAACAAGCATTAGAATAATGCTCTTTAGAAAGGTCAGTACTAAATATCATTCCCTATATTCAACAATTGATCTATAAAGTTATTAAACTCGACTTCAGTCACAGCATATGCACATGTTGAAAAAAAATTTAGTACATTAGTTCGGAGCGTCTGACCATAGCCTGACTTCGGAAACTTGATTGACATATTTTGTTTCAAATGGAAATAGCAATACGAGTGAGGCCAGCCAAGAAAAACGTTGAAACAGCATTTAATAGTCATGGTTGACGATCATATAAAAAAGTAATCGTTCTACCCATTGGAATCAAAATACTTGCCAAATGTTGAAGATACCAGGTCCAATTATCCTCCGTCTCGGAATCAACAATGCCAAAAGATAGAGGAAAAAAATCCTATAAGAAACAAATAAAACAAGAAAACAATAAATAACAATATAATAATGGATAAAAACAAATAAATTATCTCTTGAAAGAAAACGCAACGTATATGCTTAATCGCTTATGGCTTAGCCTACGAGCTAAACCTTAAGCCATAAGCGCCACCCCACCCCAAAATTTCTAAAACCCTACACCAAAAACCACCCCCAAAAACCCATTCCATCTTCAACCCTTAGTAAGCTTTCTAAAACCCTAAACTCTAAATCAACCCTAAACTTCTACTTCATATTGTAAAACAATAAACCTAAGCCAAAAGCCTCAACAAGTACAACATAAACAAAAAATATATTGCTTAATCCTACCTTGATCTCCTTGCTTTCCACATGCTGCAATAAGGTGCAACTGGTATTTACTCTTCAAGAATGTTGCATTAATAAACAACAAAGGAAAGTGTGAACACGAAAGTTCCTTGAAACAAGAAACAAGAATAACATGTACAAAATAATATTTTGTGTTTAATGATTTTGGGGTTACGATCTCTCTCAAATTTGGTCCTCTGATTCTATCTTCGTAGGGTGTAGGTTTGTGGATGAGTTGTTGATCCAAAGGGGCCGTCGGGGCTTGATCTAAGGATGAACAGTTGATGAACGGATGAACACTTTCTTCAAGGGCCGTCGGGGCTTGATCTTGAATAATGGTTGTGTGGATTTCTTCAAGGGCTTTTGGGCTTGATCTTGAAGGTTGATGGATGAGCGGATCTTCAAGGGCTTTTGGGCTTAATCTTGAAGAACGATTGGATGTGTGGATTTGTTGAGGTTGTTGATCCAAAGGGCCGTTGGGGCTTGAGCTTAGGATGAACGGATGATGAATGATGAACGCTTTCTTCAAGGGCCGTTGGGGCTTGATCTTGAATAATGGTTGTGTGGATTTCTTCAAGGGCTTTTGGGCTTGATCTTGAAGGTTGATAGATGAGCGGATCTTCAAGGGCTTTTGGGCTTAATCTTGAAGAACGATTGGATGTGTGGATTTGTTGATCCAAAGGGCCGTTGGGGCTTGAGCTTAGGATGAACGGATGATGAATGATGAACACTTTCTTCAAGGGCCGTCGGGGCTTGATCTTGAGTTGGTGAAAGTTCTTCAAGGGTCGTTGGGGCTTGATCTTGAAGGAGGATTTGACGAAGAACGAAGAGTGTTTTCTTGATCCTTCGGGATTTTCTTGAGAGCTTTAGAACTTAAGGCTTCAAGGTTTTGGTGTGTAGAGAAATGTATTTGTGAATTGGTTGATGCTTGATACCTTGATGGAGAAGCCTATTTATAGGCTTTGAGAATGAATCACCACCACAAAATATTTTTTTCCTTTCCAAGCACCATTGCCTAATTTTCCTACTTAATGCAATATTGAAATTGAAGTGGTGTAACTTATGGCCTAATTTCCCACTTAATACCATTTTAAACTTGAAGTGGTGTAACTTATGGCCTAATTTCCCACTTAACACCATTTTAAACTTGAAGTGGTGTAACTTATGGCCTAATTTCCCACTTAATAGCCTAATTTCCCACTTAACACCATTTTAAACTTGAAGTGGTGTAACTTATGGCCTAATTTCCCACTTAATACCATTTTAAACTTGAAGTGGTATAACTTATGGCCTAATTTCCCATTTAACACCATTTTAAACTTGAAATGTGTATGCTTTGTCATTGCCCAAATGAGAAAAACTTGCTTTGATCCGTAATGGATTGAAGTGTGCTTGCCTTGTCATTGCCCAACATGAGAAGAAAAACTTGTTTTGATCCTCAATGGATTGAAATGTACTTGCCTTGTCATTGCCCAAAATGAGAAGAAAAACTTGTTTAATCCTTCAAGGGTATTTCTTCCTATTTTGTTGAGTCACACGCCATGTGTACAACTTGTACAACACGTGGCGTATGCCATGTATGCCTTGACACGTCAAAACTTTAATGCATTGGTGAACATTTGTTTTTTTTTTTACTGAAATTTCGATGTCTACAGAAAGCAATATTTGAATCCCACTATACAACCACCAAATCAGACAAAAAAACGTTTAAAGCATTAAGTCAATGGATCATATTCCAGGACACACACAAAACCAGGGTTTGTTGATTTAATAGCCTCCAAATACCAAGTTAACTCATTAAATGATTTAGACTCATCACCATGAACTTCCAGCTTTGCCAATTCTTTTCCAAACCACGCATGGTGGTAAGAAATATCAAGCCCATAATATTCCTTAAACTCTTTTTATCATCTCAATCGGTTTTAGTCCTGGTTTTGCATGAATCCTATCAACAAAAAGTGAAGACACAACTCGAGAACTCATCATCTTACTCTTAGATTCATGGATCTGACCGGGACATGTATGGACATTGTTTAGTGTCTTGATAACAAAGAAACCTGTAGCTTGACCTTGGGAAGCATAAACACGCCAACCACATCCATCACTATTTTTTTTTTGGAGCACACAACAATGACACAACTTTTGTCATTGTTCAAATATACACAACTAAAACCTGCCTCAAGAGCGTACTTACACAATTTTATATGAAAATCTTCTACCCCATCCTCAATTTTTTTCCCAACGTGATGAATATAATGCAACCATTCATTAGACAACAAAGCCTTGCTACTAGCTGTCTTTGACCTTCCCAAGAAGTTATTGCGATCTTTGCAACTTGAACTTGTAGCACACAATAAAGAACTGCCGTCGTTCCATTGTACTAGATCATTACCCGTTGAGAAAACTTCACTACACACACTAACATCCTTTACCAATATATCAACTGATTTTGGCTTTGCTATTCTCAAACATGCCAACATCATATCAAAGTCATTCTCATTTTCTAGTACACAATTAGAATAATCCGACCGCGAATACCTAACATGAAACTCCTCGTATACAATGCCTAAACCTCAAACGAATCACTTTGCAAACGTCAACAAATGAAGAACTACGTGAAACAGGAAACAACACAGTTTCCATTTTGTATGTACACTTTGTAATCACACAAACCTCCATTATCCTAAAACAAAAACAAAAGGACTGAAATTACAAACAGAAAACATAAACAGACACTGCGATGAAGTTCCTACGAAATTGAAAAGATGCACTAACACTCAAACACAATCAAACAAGCACCATAACTCTACCCAACGAACATCAAAGTTCTAATTAACTGAGAATTCTAAGAAGCTTAAATTTCAGAGCAACAAATTATCAAATCATATCCACAACCATAGGCAAAGCCAAATTTTGAAAATTTTAAATTCAAATTTTGTACAAAATCACAAAACTAAATCAATTCAATGCAAATAAACAAAGAGAAAACGCGGAAACAATTGAATGCATAGAACATAATCGGAAAAAAAAAAAAAAAAAAAAAAAACACACATACGTCAATTTACCAAACACCAAGTATGGTTGATCTCCAAACACAGCAGAAAACTGAAAATCTTAGAAGATTTTGAATCGTATGCATCAACCAAGCATCATGATTAAAGTTGCAGTTAAAATCGAAGAAAAAATTTGGTCGCCATTGAAATTCTGGCGCGATTGTCCTCTGTTGAATACGAGGCTCCTTCGCTCGATAGTTCTTCTGTTGAAGGCAAGGCTTCTTCGAGTGAATAAAGGAGAGTTGTTGGGCAAAAATATAATTTTATAATGGCTTAGAGTAACTTGGGCTTTCTTTATTGACTTATACTAAAATAATGTAAATAGTTCATTGATTAAGTCCAAAGGAAAACCTATGCATTGATATATGGTTATTTAGTAAACTTTTTATGGATCTATGGCTAAATTTCCTTTATTATTAATTACTATATATTGATGTTATATTCTGCTGTCATATGTCTCAATCTTTTTATATAATCAAAATCGTACATACATAGTATTTTTGTACATAAAAATCATGCAAGCGGTTCATATCTAACTCAGACATACATAATATTTTTGTACATAAAAATCATGCAAGCGGTTCGTATCTAACTCAGCAAAGAAATTCGTGATGCACCCCTTACATTATATTACTATGTATTCATATCTTTATATATAACAAGAGGGCCAGTGTGGAATATGCTTCCCTGTACCAAACCTATAGAGGGACGTCTATATGACCCCTTGTAAGCCAAAAGTAGACATACTTTACAACATAAATATTTACCACTGCAGGCGACTAATAGAGAGAATATAATGTTAAGAGTTCAAAGTCTAATACCAATGGTCCACTACTAAATACATCAACATTATCCCAACTTTAATCATCTGCACAGCCCAACGTGTTGAATTTTGTTACAGAAGACAAAAGTGCTACTACTAATAGAACCATTCATATATAAGTAATAATATATCATGTCATACTTTCTATGGAGGATGACTCTTCAACGTACACTTACCGCAGTTTTCAACATGTTATTTTCTTCACCAAGCCTTTCTAGTTTATTGGTACTCTTATTTTCATATGCTGGTAGATTTCAGTTTTTTAGTATACGATATCTTTTAATTAAGGCGGTATTAATTTAATGAATATTGTTTTTGTAATGTAATTATGTTTATACATAAGATTATAACTTGACAGTATAATATGACGTCCACAATGTAAAACTCAACCTTGTTACAATAATAACAATTTTGTTGGAACTAAAATTACATCAATTATGTATTATCACACTAGTTAGCCTACATTTCTTGTAATTCATACATAATGCTAGCGTCATATTGTAACACCATTAAAAAACATTAGCCTCTTGCCACATGTGTACGCACGTGGCAATTGGCTTTTTTGATTTGGAAAAAAACAGAAAATAATAATAATAATAATAATAATAATAATATATTTATAAAGAAAAGTTAATTACGGGGGTTGGTTTTTTTGTGTGAATTCTTATTTTATTTAAAGTTTAATGAAAGAGGAAAAAAACTTGTATTTATGTTGTAACAAGAAGTTCATGGTGTAACGATCATGTTGATAGTGTGTACGTAATAAACTTTATCCTTCTATAATCTCAGTCATTATTATACAGTAAACTTTAATGATTATGTAAATTTATTAAAAATGGTTACAATATTCAAAATGATGTGGTAAAGTTAATGCAAATCTTATATTGATATCGTCCAATTAAATTTGAAAGTTAATTTTTTTACTGATTGTCAATGTTTTTATGCAATAATATATTTACACTAAGGGTCAAACTTATCATTCACGAGATTCAAAATTAATGACATCTCACTTACAAGTGAAGAAGAATATTAATAGACTATAGTACGAAGTAGTTTTCTTGTCAATTTGAATATGTCATTTAAATAAGAAATCTGTTTAATAATTCAGATTTAAGTGTATTATCTTTATAAAGTATAAATGTGCGAAAATAAACATGCTCATGCGCATAAAAGATGCTTTTTTTTTTTTAAATCACGGGTGCTACGTGCCTCTAAA